AGAGTGGGTGGAGACGGCGAGACCTCAACCAAGCTGCAGTGGTTCGTGGGGTCTGCAGTGGTTATGGTGTCAGGTGGAGTGCTTGGAGCCCTCGAAAAGCACTAGGAGCATCTGTCAGCGAAAGGTACCCAGTCAGGGTGCCAGCAGTTCTGTTACAGTGGTGTCAGCGGTGGGATGGCGTCCTAATGCGAGGAGAAGCAGCTCTGAGACACCGTTCGTGGATTTACAAATTGAGGGCAACGCTAGTATTCATACAGTGCCCCTGTTCACAGCAGCATGGAGCAAGTGAGCCCCTATGCAGCAAACCTATAAGAGGAGGAATTTCTCTGGAGGTTGCAGCAACTCTTGGCCCAACAGGATGGGCCTGTATCAGAGGAGGGCATACTGGACTGTAGAGATGCCATTCGAAAGGAGATGTGGTACGATGCCCTGGAGGACGTACAGCGTCGGCGCGGTAAGAATCTCCCCAGTGAGGAGCAGTGGCAGCAGAAGCGTGTGGCGATGCGAATGTATCTCTTGGGAGAACAGCCCCGGGAGGAATGGGTGAAGGAGCTCGAACACCGGGTATGGCAGGAGCTATGGCTAGACAAAACAGACAGAAGACAAAATCAATACAAATGAGTGATAACCAAAATCAAATCGTTAACCTGTCAAAATTTACCCTACAAGAACATCATATCTCACTTCTCAATAAAGGATTATCCTTTATACCCACTCCAAACACCAATAAATTCAATTGGATTAAGGACACTAACCTTTCTGGCCGTAAATCGGCTCTGAATGTGGTACATAAAAGAAGAAACCATAAATTAGCCAAAGAAGCAGGTCTATCTAACGAATAATTTTTCTTTACTTGACGAACAATAGGGATGTGCATGATGAAAAAGTTTGGTACGGTTCGGCATTCTGAAATTCGGAACTATGGCAACTTCCGAACTTCAGCATTTCAGAACTTCGGGACTTTTCTTGCAGCTGCTAAGTAGATAACACCCTAATTCCCACAGTATTAGGGAGCTTTCTACCAAAAGGCTGAAAGATCTAAATTGGTCTTTCAGCCAAATTTACTAATACTAAGTAAATACTACTAAATACTACTGAAAGTAACCAATCAGAGAGTTATGAGTCAAATTACACAGCGTGGGAAAATTCCAAAGAACTTTCCCACGCTGTGTAAAATGACACAGAGCACTCTTGTGGATTTCAAGCAAACCAATCAGAGTGCTGTGACAGGTAAATGTAGAGACTTACCTGTCAGTCTCTTCATTTACCTGTCAGAGCACTCTGACTGGATGGCTTAAACCCACCAATCAGAGTACTCTGAGCCTAATTGCAGGGCGGGGCAAGGCTTTATAAGCCTTCCCCCGCCCTGCAGAGCTCAGTCTGCGTGGAGCCTGAGTGAAGATGGATTTTTTTTTTTTTTTTTTTAAAGTGCGTCGGTTATTATGGATTTTTATTTGGCCTTTTTTGGGGCTGAAAAAAGAAGAGTTTAGAAGAAAGAAGACATCAAATGGTAAGTTTATTTATTTTTATTTTTTTACAGGTATTTAGATAAAGGTCCCCCTAAAAATAATGGGGAGGGGGTGACCCGGGGGGGCAGGTAAAATTTTTATTTAGGACAATAGGTCACCCGCCCTTATTGATAGTTAGGGTGCCCACCCACCGCTCAGGGGTGGGGGCCGGGGGGGAGGACTATAGGTCCCCCCCCCTTATTCTAATTTTAGGGCCCCCACTTGCCGCTCAGGGGTGGGGACCGGGGGAAACAATAGGTCCCCCCCTTATTCTAAATTTAGGGCCCCCACCCGCCGCTCAGGGGTGGGGGCCAGGGATTTAGGGCCCCCGCCCGCCGCTCAGGGGAGGAGGGCAATAGATTCCCCCTTATTGATAGATACGGGGCCCCACCCACCGCTCAGGGGTGGGGGCCGGGGGGGAGGACATAGGTCCCCCTTATTCTAAATTTAGGGCCCCCACCCGCTGCTCAGGGGTGGGGGCCAGAGGGGAGGACACAGGGCCGGTGCAAGGATTTTTGCCGCCCTAGGCAAAAGAAAGATTTGCCGCCCCCCACCCACCCCCAGTGACATCGCAATGCCCCACCCATATGATCTGCCATATGAACTAACGCCAGTGCTGCACACAGTGTGTGTTTACATTAAAAAGATGCAGTGGTTCTGGGGACTATAGTGTCCCTTTAATGTGAGGTAAATTAGAGATTAGTGCCACTAATAATATACTAGATTGCCTACTTACAATCAGATGAGGATGGTGATGGGCTCTGGTCTGGTGTAGAAGGTATTTAGATAAAGGTCCCCCCTCATCCTAAAAATAATGGGGGAGGGGGTGACCCGGGTTAAATTTTTATTTAGGACAATAGGTCACCCGCCCTTATTGATAGTTAGGGCCCCCACCCACCGCTCAGGGGTGGGGGCCGGGGGGGAGGACAATAGGTCCCCCCCTTATTCTAATTTTAGGGCCCCCACTTGCCGCTCACGGGTGGGGGCCGGTGGGGGAGAACAATAGGTCCCCCCTTATTCTAAATTTATGGTCCCCACCTGCCGCTCAGGGGAGGGGGCCGGGGAGGAGGGCAATATGTCCCCCCCACTTATTGATATTTAGGGCCCCCACCGGCTGCTCATGGGTGGGGGCTGGGGGGAGGACAATAGGTCCCCCCCTTATTGATAGTTAGGGCCCCCACCCACCGCTCAGGGGTGGGGGCCGGGGGGGAGAACACAGAGCCGGTGCAAGGATTTTTGCCGCCCTATGCAAAAGAAAGATTTGCCGCCCCACCCACCCACCCCCAGTGACATCGCAATGCCCCACCCATATGATCTGCCATATGAACTGACGCCAGTGCTGCACACAGTGTGTGTTTACATTAAAGAGCCTGCAGGGACAAACTATAGACACCAGAACCACTTTATTAAGCTGCAGTGGTTCTGGGGACTATAGTGTCCCTTTAATGTGAGGTAAATTAGAGATTAGTGTCACTAATAATATACTAGATTTTATTAAAGGACACGGAGGCGAATATTATGCTTATCTCTTTCTTTATTATACCTCAGCAGCAAAGAGAAGGTATAAGACATTCATAAAAAAAATTAGAAACAAGTACTCAAAGGGTTAACATAGCATCATAACCCTTAACCAATGGGAACA